ATATAATATATATATATATATATATATATATATAATATGTATACATATATACACACATGTATATGTTTTATGTTTATGCATTCAGTTTTGTTAACATAATTTATTTCTAGTTCTTCCTGTTCATTGCACTGATTTTTCTATGTTCTTCATATTCGCGTTCATTGCTTTGTTAATTTGTATACTGTAATTCTCACGCAAAGACAAGTCCGAGCCGAACATATACGGTTTGCATGTATCACTGGAACAATGATAGACTTTGATTGTTCATATTACAAAAACTACTTCTGCTGGGTTATGTCAATCCTTATTCATATACAAAAGAGATTAATTATACAATAGATAATCCTCAGTAATCGACAATAGACTGTACATCTTAGTAACACGGAGCGTGTCAATTCTCTCTATAATAACAAAAGAGATTATCACATTAGTATGAATCTCAGTAAGGAAGGTTAAATCAGAACCTTTATTGTTACTACAGCATCAACAGTGTTACGTCGTCATCTCCAGCGCTCGAAACTCTTATACATTCTGGCTCTCCCTTTTATGAAAGTATCAAAAATATCCTTTCTAACACTCATTCCCCAACAGACAACGGAAATTACGATATTATCTCAATATTAAAAATCAATAAAAATATAATTAACTTATCTAAGGTAGAGCTCACCTGCTCCTATGCAGGTCCCCTTGACTAAGATTCGTCCTATCCCCCTTTTCCAAAAAGAAAGAAAAAAGAATCATAAAAAGAATAAGAAAAGAAAAAATCATGATCAATAATAAAGAATGTCCTGCTTAAGCGCTAAATTGAGTTCAAGATGTAAAACTAAATAAAATTTATAAATATGGTACAATCGATATTAAGCGATAGAGCAATAATAGATTAATTATAGATACGTATAGGTAATAGCATTGTATCGTTGAATCCTATGGCGATTTTTGTTATTTAAGTCCTCTGCTTAACAATAGAATTGAGGATTGAATTAAACATTTGTGTGTTTCCGTGTGTTCGATTTGATGAGCGAGTCTCGTTCAGTCGAACAATTCACCGCACGCACCAATCACCATTGCGGACTAGCAGCCACCTTGACTAGCTTCTTGTTTTAAATTCCTGCCATTCTCTGCTACCACAATCCCATTGACGTAAATGTCCATTTGGGCTAGCAACTTGTTCCACTATACTCCACCAAATTCAGCAGGTACAAATCAATCTCCAGGATGTTCAGGGCAGCTACGATTTACTTGAAACCACTTATCAATACAGCTAGAAGAAACATCAAAATTTTTATTAATTCTATATAAGTATATTCGTATAAGTATATTCTATATTCGTATAAGTATATAAATAATTGAGGGAAATATATCTTTTTAATTCTACAATTAACAACTAACAATTAAAGATTGCTTAACAATTTATTGATTATATTTTTTGGGATTAAAAAAATTTCAATATTAAAATATATTAAATATTCAATATTTCTGATATAGCAATATGTGTAACATTCTATTCAATTAGTTGAAACCATCAAATCTTTATCTTTTTTAATGCTTTTAATTCTTTTTTTGCCAGTAAAAAATGAAAATTAATAATATATAAATTATATCATTGTACATACTTTTTATGATATATACAGAGACAGGGCAAGCGGGCTATAAGATCTCCAGATTGTAACTCTTCCAAGCAAATAACACATTCACCTTTTCCATCTGTTAGTACATCCTCTGTCACGCAAATAAGCAAAGATATATTTATTAATTATCATTGCTAACAATTACCACCTGTGATTAAATCAGACAAAATCTGTTTTCAGAGAGTAATGAAAACAGTATCTGTCAAATGGACAAAGAAACCTGTTACTTCTTTCATCACTTACCATTGTAACTGAGCCGTGGCTTGGTCAGGCACATGACCAGGTGACACTCGATATCATCCGGTAGAATAAACTTGGAGCACACGGGACATTTTAGACCTTGAAATAAATGAAGAATCTCAAAAAAAAATTTGGCGAGAAAGTTAGAGAAAGAAAGAGGAAGAGGGAAAAGAAGAGTGTGGAAAAGGAGAAAAGTAAACAAAAGGATATATAAGTAGGAAAGATATAATACCATAAAAGACTCTTCTCACTCGATCCACCGGGACCACAGCCTCGGCTTCGTGCTCGTTCAGGCACGAGCTCACTATAATTCCCATAATAGACCCGACATAACCTCAGCCATGCCCCGCACTCCCGCGCGGCGATTCTCTCCCGAGCCTCATGTTCTGTTTTTTCTCTCCCTTTTTCTTTCCCTTCGCGTGAATTATTCTCGCGACACGCCCTTTCCCTTTTTTTCTCCCGATCGTTTTCGCCCGGGTATCTCTCGCCGTTTCGAAATTTTATCCAGGCCCGCTTGGTGTCCTCGAGCTAGTCATCGATTGTGATACGCGGTTACCGGGCCAACCACCCCGGCAACACGCGTCAAAACAAACGCCCCCTGTCCCACCCGCGAATCATCGGCGCGCACCAACTCCGGTCCGCGGAGCTTCGCGGTTGCGCGACCTAACCTCGCTTTTTTGCGGCATTGCCCGTGCGCAATTAGGTTAGAGACCGCGTCCGATTAATGCCCCCCGCGTCGGGATCGAAACTCTACGGAACGTGTCGCACGACGGCTCGCTCGAGAGAGGAAGGTCCCGTCGCACGAACAGACACGAATAACTGGTGATTGATCGCTAGCGAGCGATCCGACGATTCCGTCTCAACCGATATCGTTTGCGCAACGCTCTCCCTTTAGAAGCAAAATACTAGAGAATTTTTTTTCCATGATGCACACGATGACGATACAATGATGAATCGCGCGTTAATTTTTAGCGCCGCGATTAAACGGATTTGCAATGATGCAAATTCATGATGCACTACGTAACGCGCATTATAATTCACTACGAGGACAGTCGCGACCTGAAGGCGAGTAATTCTTTCGGGATTCCCAACAAGCTCCGTAAATAATCATAAACATAATGTAAACACGTGTATAATAAGACTCGGGACTTACCGTTGAGGGACCAAATGTGCGAAGGCAGGCTGTGAGCGGCGTAAACGCGACCGCTCTCCTCGTCGGTGTCGTCGGAGTCCAGCTGCGGCAGGCCGAGGGCCTGGTCGACACCTACCCCGACCGAGGTAGAGAGGCCAGCCTGCTCGGCGGACGAGAGGTCCGGCACGGAACTCAGTGAACGTGCACGCTGTCTACTGTCCCCGGACATACGCGAGTTCTGCGACTGATTGGCCTGCTGGTGCTGGTGCTGCAGCATACCCACGCCGCCGGGCAGGGAGCGCAGCATGGAGAAACCCTGCATCGCAGTCTCATTGGCCCCAGTGGAGGATTGACCGTTGCCACCAGCGGATTGTGCTACAGTGCTTGCCTTGGCTCCCATCCCAGTTGTGATAATGTGAAAAAAAGAACCAAGTCACCACGTGTTCGCGCCCGCGATATTCGTCCCTATATCTATATCTATCCGCCCCCTTGGCGATTAAATTTGACTTGTTATTCCCGCTCGCACGGTCGGCGAGGAAGGAAAAAAAAGGAAACAGAGGAACACGATTCCACGGTCCCGGGTACCTCAGGTCCTGGCAGTGGTACGCGCGCACACACACATACACTGGCACAGTCCTCGCACCTTCGTCTCGCCCTCGCTCTTCCTCGTTCTCTCACCCCGCTCACGGCGTCGGCGTCGGCGACGACAGACGGCTGGACGACGTAGCTCGGCCCGACCAGAGCGGCGCGACGCTCTTACAACACTTTGGGATTTAACTTAGGCCGGAATTTAGCAGACGTGCGCCACAACAAGCAAGTCATTTCGTCCGCGAACATACCAGCGGCTCGTCGCACAAAACATTCCCCGACATCTTAAACTTCCTAGATGTCAACACAGTCGGCTCGCGCAGACATTCCACTCCGCGGACTTCGTGTGTCCGCGCCGCGGATTACGAGCGATTCCAAGGGTCGTGCACGCGTAAAACTTTAGCCTTGATTATCAAGAAGGAGAGTGAACGAAATGATACACTCGATTGATTACATGTTATTGACATGATTTCGATATCAAGGATGCTTTCCATTTAGTGACACAAGCATCGTTCTATCTTTCTTGGCATTCAATGAGTAACAAGGATAAAACGATTTTATGTTGACTTCTATTACTAAATGGAAAGCACTCTGAAGCTGTCCAAGAGCAAAAATTCCTTGATCCTGATTGGTCAATCAAATGCTACTCTACTCGATTTCGGACGTAACCTGGCAAGACACGATTAATATTTGATTATTTAAAATATATCGTTCTTTTTTTAAGCTTAATAGTGAGTGAAATCGGAAGTTGACAATTTAAAATGAAGTGAGATGGAATAAAATAAAAAAGCAAGACTGGGTTTAGAAACATCGGATGTATCATTTTATCCTTGTTTGTTCATCGAATTTAAATAAAAATAAAATGATATGTCTGGACATTCGATTATTTCTGGACGCACCTCAACTGAAACAAATCAGCTATCTCATTCTGTATTAAACTATTAATCTCCGGCTTCAATTTATAGATAATGTTTGATCTATGTAAATATGTGTAAATATAACTTCTATTACCAAACATGAAAAATTATATATGTTGAAAAATTTAACATAAAATATTAAATATAAAAAAATATTAAACATAAAAAATAAAATATCCTTTTTTTATCAATCATAATTATTCTTTTTTTTAAATTAAAAATATTCAATCTGTATAACTGTATATAATCTACTATTATTAGCATTATTAAGGAAAAAAGCATTCCAAATGTTCTTTAAAATACTCGTTTTCTTTTCCTTCTTAAGAGATAAAATGACACTCTTATTAATATAATTCATTAATCTTTAATGTGAAAATATTCGACAGAAATATTAATCACAACATATACCAAAAATTTATGTATACATATATTTTATATATACCCTTTTCTTATAAATATGAAGTATATATATATATGTACAGTTTAATCAATATAAAAATATCTAAAGATGTCTCGTAATCTTTATACACGTACAATAGGTTTCAAAACGGCGAAAATGGCACGTAGTTGGTAAAATAATTAATCAGTAGTTTTGACATAGGTTACGAGTATCAGCCTTTGAATCGGGGCTCAAAGAGCTCCAATAGGTGTCGAGACACTTTTGTAGCTTCGATTCGGACCGAATTTCATCATCAGCCTCGCATATCTCATCGATCTCATAATGCTCGTATACTAATCTATCCAGCCAATCTTCAAAATCCTCATCATTCCTGTTGTGACTATGCATGATCTGCTCATTTGCTATCGCAGACTTCACTAGCTTTGACCAACTTTTATTCATCTCTTCGGTTATATGATAAACGGTATTTGGACCATTTATTATTTCCTTTGCCTTATCCAAGTCTATCTTTTTGGTCTTCCAATATGATAATGGAATTACCAGAAATTTTAATTTTGCTATCAGTTGCGTGTCGACAACTAACAACAATCGCCAAGTACCAACAGCTAATTGCTCGTTTAACTGCGGCTTAACATGTCCAACCTATAAAAAGGCACGAAGTTAAAATGTATTAAAAATCAATGAGGAAAACATTGAAAGATTTAAATTTAAGAAAAAAGCTTCATGCTACGATATAATAATTACCAAGGTCATCTCTTCAAGCAACATGTGATTTACATCAGCAAGACGACCATGTGGATCAATCCATAGGATCGATATATTTTGTGGTATTGTAACACCCGCGTCAAACTCGTAAGCCAAGACTGGAGTTGAATATGGCCCTATACTGCCCATCAAATTTCTAAACGTTTGCTCTTTCTGATCATAGTCCGTATTAACGGAAAGACTTCTTATTTTTCCCATCCATGGTCTACTAGCAGAGAAGTTGTGTCGCGTGGAAATCAAAACTTCCATTCGTCTTGTACGATCCTCAGGCAGTGTAAATACATCGGCGGTTTCGACCTTGTTTTCCATAAAAATCAGTATGCCAGCAAAACGATTCTCGCGAAAATACGCAGTGCTTTCCAACAAGCGGACAGTTTTGTAATCCATATGCAGTTTGCGATAAACTAATCTCGCTAAGGAGTACGAGAGTGTTAGCAACGCATCATCTGGTAGTGGACTTAGATCCGCGTGATGATACAAACTTTGCCAATACATGTCGTAGCCTCTCGCTTTGATTGTTTTATTTACTCGATCAGGATATAGCCATTCTTCTATGCGATTTATGATTCGATAATCGATGACAGGTTCGAATTTACGGGCAAAAAATATATTGCGATCCACTGTGTTTCGTAGTCGATTAAAATCCTCGAGCTTAAAATCATTCGGACTACATCCACACCAATCCACTACAGCTTTATATTGGCATTTGCAACCTAATTTTCTTTTCCAATTAGTCATATGCAAATTATTGTCTATGTAGGTATTGCAGAATCGCGAGTTTCTCAAGACTGTATGAAAGAATGATTCGGCAGGTAGCAAAGTATATTTGAACAATTTTGACAAATTGACTACAAGCTGATCAGGATTTGGATCGGCGACATACTCGACGAAGTCTCGGCTTAGAGCAAACCAATCACTACCACCATCGATTTGAATACCTGTAAAAATAATGAAATTATGTATATTTCACAAACGATTTATATACATTGATAGTGTTTAAAAAATTTTCAATTGCTTAAAACGAATAAATAAATATTTAAATAAAATAAAAATATACATAAAAATACTAAAAAAAAATCTGTGTGTCTACATAAAATAAGAAAATACATATATAAAATTTCAACATACCATCTGGTAATTTTCGATCTCCAACTCGCCACATGCGCGCTTCACATTCGACAAAAGTCTTGTCCAAACCCTGCTTAGCTATGAAGCGCTGAACTTCTCTTCCATGCGACTTTGCGAAGTTCATACCTTTATTCCAACTGAGGAACTCAGTCAGCTGAATATTGCTTTTTAAAGGAAAATCTGATTCCGATAAATTTACGAGAAAATCCCAGTGCTGATGATACGCAAGCATTTGTTGTGCGGACTTCAGAAATGTCGTCAAGAGACTCGCGCCACCCCAAATGCTCGCGTGTCGTAGACCCTCTCCTCTTGCCACTTTAATATTGTTTAGTTTACACAATTTCTCCAATTCTAACATTTCGCGGTACAAATAATCCTGTCTCTGAAAATATATAATTTGGCTGAAATAATATTTATTTATCAATCTTATTACTAATACATATAATGATAACAAGTTTGAAAATTATTAAAGATCTAAATGAAATCGAATGTTTAAATAGAAATATCTAAATTGTAATTAATAAATTTCTTTGTTTTAATATATTTTAATCAATTTTGTGGAATTTGTTGCACAACTTACTGCATCAACGTGAATATAAAACAAGTGCGAAGGATGATATAAAATACTAATAAGTCGTTTCACTTGCCGACTTGCCCTGCCATTCACTGTCAACAGATAAGCTATTCGAATAGGTTGCTCGATTTCATTTTTTAAACTTGAGTTTCTCGCCTCTTGAGATTTAAATTCTGTCAAGATAAAAAGAAAATTTTAATACTCTTATAGATGTTTATGTATAGTTACTGGAGCTCACATACTTTGAATTCCAGTCCAATATATATTAATACTTAAATAACCACCACACGTCTGTTTTGGATTGCCAGAACATTTCATATTGCAGCTAGAATCTGGTAGTCGTTTCGTCTGCAGTGGTTCTTCCATTCCACAAAAACATTCCACTCTAAAATCATGTATATTGATATATTTCAAAGAAAGCAGCATATTTATATGTTATATGTCAAGTAAGACACTAACGAGTACTCTGTACCAGCGTATGGAAATCCTGATTGAAGACACATATAAGCACAACGCTCAGGCGTATTGTTCCCTTTGAAGATGTGATAATAACCGGAAAGCACTCTCAACGTTTTGTCATCTTTGAAGCAGCCCAAGTTGATCGGCATGCCTGTGAAACCTGGAGAATGGGGACACAAAGATTGTACTCTTTCTGGGTACAACAAACCCTGCTGGCTAAGGCACGTCACATTGACAATGCGTTGTTTGCATGCTTGGCTTTGAGCACGTGTTATGGCGCTCACGGCTTCTCTGACCGTAATCTCGCATGCAGGTGTGAAATTCAACAATTTGCGATCCAACTTGATCCTAGTGGTGCGATTTCTTAGTTGAGATTGCAGCTGATTTTGCTTGTTTGAGCTTGCCTGCTTATCAGGTGGAAGTTTCAATTGACGTAAGCCCTTGGGCAGACCTTCATCCTCCTCGGGTTGGGATGAACCTCCCTGTCCGATTTAACAATTCACATCAGATAATAAAATATTTCTATTGTTACTCGCTTCTAAGAGATGAGGTTAGAAATAGGTAATTTACCTCTCCAGACGACAACCGGCTGGATTTGCCCTTGTCATTGTCCAAGGCAAAAAATGTGTGCAGGTAGACCTGGACGCATAACACGGTGATGCCGAAGGCGAAGAGCAGTCGGTACTTGCGCAAGCAGCTCGACGATCGGCCACCCGGGTGGTTCTTCGTAATCGCCATATTCTTCGGCGGTCTTGATTACCGTCGACTGCGGTACGTACTCGAGGAAGCCGGGTCCATCAGGCCTCAAATGATAAGATTCTCGTCACGATGGCGAAAGTCGTCCGCGTTTCCGTCCTTCCTTTCAACGAAAAATTAAATGCACATTTCCACTCATGCGTTTCACGTCGCACCCCATCGTATACACCCTGCGAGAATACACCGAGCACTGTGACGCGACGGCATTTCTCTTAAATAATTAACGTGGAGGTTAGGTCGCTTGAGTTGGGGTTAGGTCGCTTGTCACAGCGCGCGTGCCCTGAACTGCGTCGATCCAATAATGGACCGCATAGGTTATGGTCGCGCCTCAATAATGCAGTAAACAACTTTAGTCACATTCTTTTATCGTCTATGCAGTCAGCCACGAGAAACGCATGGAAGACGAACGCTGTGAGAAAAGCACGCATCTATCCGAAGTCGACCTGGTGAACGAGGTAATATAGACGAACGCTCTCGACGAGGAACACGCTTCTCAGGATCGGATGCGACGTCAGAAAATGGCAAATACAGTGCTCACGCACAAGCCCAAGGAGGAGGACAGTCTCGAATGCTTTCTCTATCCCAAGTTCTGCTACGCGTCTGACCCGGACGCGGTGACGGAAGCGAGACTGAGCGAAGAAATCGCCAAGTACAATGAAGAGATTACTTCGTTCGTCGTCGACTACATCTGGCATTGTGACAGTTTAAATTTCCGTCCTAGGACCAAACAAGCAATGCTGCTGAACCGAATTCTCGAAGGATCAGCAGTAGAAGAAGGTGAATATCTCATCTTTGTGTTGCCTTTCATGTGATGATTCATTCTAATCAATAAGAATAATCACTTTTTTCTTTCACTAGATTACCATACCCTGCCTCACATCTATGCAAGTTTACGTTTTGATGAGGATATAGGAGATGAGTGGCTGACAGTGTTTCTGATATTTAGACTCACTAAAGTTTTTGATGGGTTAATTGCCAGAGTGGTGGATACAGATGGAGAATTTCTTCTGATAGAAACTGCTAATGTCCTACCACTCTGGGCTGATCCCAACACATGCCAGGATCGAGTGTTTATTCATAACGGTGATATTCATGTTATTAGAGAAAGAGGAACGTCGTTTCTCAATTTGTTAAATACTATAAATGGCAAGCCACATATCTCTAAGATGTCTGAGAAAGTACAGCTTGTATTACAAAAGCGAATTGGGATTTATCCTGATGAAATTCAGAAGAGGAAGCACAAGGCCAGAGCATTCCTCCCAGAGAAAGCAGCCTCTATACTTCGTGTAGAACCAAGACTCATAGCTCCAGTGATTAGAACAATCTTTCATTCAGATCCACTTGAACGCAAAGTACGATAGAATTTAATTTATTTTTATATACACTCAATTTTAGACATCATATTATTATTATCGTACATTGTAGGTCTGTCGCGCTATGAGATATTTCCCTCCTGAACAACGAACAATGGTTAATGTTAAGATGACCAAGTGTTTGTACGCGATGGCAACGCACTGTCGTTATACCGGCGATCCAAGAACAGGTTGGAATATACCACCTGCAACTTGCTCAAAATACAATGCTCATGTTCTCGGAGTTAAAATAGCATGCGGTTTAGAGATGCTAGTAGCTCGGGCCAATGAGGAACGTAGAAAACGTATCAGAGAACGATCGGATGTTCCCGATGACGCTGAAAAATTAAAGCTGAACGAACCAGCTTTCAACGCTTATTTAGCTCGTTTAGAAGCAAACGGTTACTTTAGAGATCTGTTGGAAGGTAGTCAAGAACGTGATAAGTTGCTGTCTACAGCGAGAGAGTATTTCTTGAAGCATGCAACTTTGTTTGATAATGTAACGAATTTGTACGAAAGCGATGCTCAAAAAGTTTTAGAAGCATGGGAGAATATACAGACAAATGACATTGAAATGCATGGTAATTTGTTACTTACATATTTAAAGAATTATTTAATTTAAAGTATTTAAAGTATTTAATTATTTCAATTAGTAGTGTAAAAAAAACGTTTCTACATTAACCTTACATAGTTGTAATTAAATATTTTTTCTATGCAGCTCAAGATGAGACTATGTTAAGTCCGGCCGATAGCGATAGCTGGTTAAATGTGGACCCAGAACAGTTGGATACATATTTAAATCAACAATGGGGCAACGTCAAGGATAAAAAGTTAGATCAAGAATCTATGAATCTCCGAGAAAAAGTGCAATCGTTTCTCAATCAAACTAGCGACGTTGATGGCGTTCATTTTTTAGGGTATGATTTTTATTTATCAGAGAAGTAGACAATTTTAAAGGATATACTAATGTCCTTAATAATTTGATATATGATAATTTGATTATAATTCACTATCATAAAATAAATAATTATTTCACTTGTAGGGAACAATCAATAGATAATGACATGCAAGATGCAGAGGATGGTGCACGAATAGATTTTGACGCAGACGTGTTCGATAATACATTGAGAGGCATTCTCGATCTAGTCGTTCCGGGAGGAGAAGGCGAGTTTGAGGGTAGCTCAGAAGGATCGCTGGGTGGCGATGACGAGGATAAAGGTGGCGATATGGACAAATATATGCGACTGTTAGATTCACAACTGCAATCGCAAATGATACAAGATGAGAATTCTGTTGATAATAATAGTATAGATCCCATAGAGACAAATTTGCGAGAAAGTATCGAAGCCGAGGCCGGCGGCTCCGGCCCGACTGGCAACATAATCGGCGGTCCTGTTCGGAGGCTCATGCACTTGCAGTTGCAATCACCTACGACGGTACCGCCTGATTTACAAAGTTAATGGCACTTCGTATATTAGACAATTAACATAGATTCACATGTTACACTATTTGTAAACATTATTACAATCTTCGCTTCATTCTGCAAAATACATAAGCATTTGTCATTTCAAAGAAAAAACAATGGGCTAAAAAATCTCGTTACTATCCAAATTATTACATTTATTACTTAAAATATATACTTAACGTTATCGATAAAAGCACCTTTATCACGCAGTTAGTATCATCGATACATATTTCACGATTGTACTTTTCATCCCTCGACTATATATCACTGTTTTTCATCAAATTATGTGTGTGTGTGTGTGTGTGTGTACACACACACACACACACACACACAGAGATATAATATA